AAAATTCTATTATCACTCTAGTTTTGGAGCGTCCCATACTACGGAGCCCCTGAAGGGGCATAGTAGAGTAAAAAATAAAATATAGGTATGTCGCGATAAGTATCTCGAGATTTCAGCTGAATGTCAACATATAAAAGTGATTTAGAATGGATCGTGAAAATGTGAAATGCTGGAAATAATTATATATTCGCAGACGATTACAATGAAATGTCTGTTGTAGTTAATGTCTCGACATTGTGGTCCCTTTGATTTTCCTTTTGCAAACTTCACTGACACAGTTTCAAATGTGCAGTGAAAGTACCTTGTTATAGTTGCCCGTGAAAATGAAGTGGTATAGTCGGGCCTAACCCATATTTATACCCAATATTCAATGTATTGAATGTGCCATATTTAGAATGTGTTTTAAGAGGTCATGAAGGCAGTTTACACTACACAACCGCAGCAGTCCCACTTGGGTTCCCAGGGGTCTCCCATCACAGTACTAACCAGGCCCTAACTTTCTTAGCTTAGACTTAGGCAATGTTTTTTATTACTTGGACTCAAACTTACTTGCTCAAACTTATTTCTAATGGTGAAAAACATTCTTTAAATTTTAAAAGAATTTTCCACTGGCCACACTTGAATATTAGTCGTCGGATTACATATCGTAATATAACACTTTTACGTCCTCATCTCTGGAGCCCAACAGCTGATCGAGCTGTGTCCAGATCCCTTCCTGCACTTCAGGGCGCGCTAACAATATAAAAGTACAAACATTGGCTATACAAGCCGCTGTGTTCAAATAATTTGAAAAAACTAGCAGCTTATGCTCCGGCAATTATGGTACAAATAACAATCGTGGATCAGGATGAACTATAGAAAATATACAGAAGGTGCGACATGAGAATTCAATTCAGCTTTTAATGAAATCAGGTTTTGACAAGCAGCTATGAGCCCTGAGGGTAATTCATATGTGGACTAATGAGCAAAATGTTAAAACTAATGTCTTGCAGTTAAGTTAAGAAAACACAATTATCCTCAGGATAATTAAACACAAGATTAAACACACATGATGTTGTTTTCTCTCTTTTCTTCTACTGTACTTCTTTACTATGTTTTAAATGTATGTTTATTTGCTATCCTGTGGAAAACTGTTTAATTCACCTTTACATTCCCTGAAATAGAACAAAATACTTTATTAATCCCAAAGGATCCATTTCTCAGCCGTAAAAAACACACAAGTCACACAGGTTCACCCGATACACAACAGTAACAATAGGTTAGAAGTCATTACTTGTATTCATTCATTGTCTCCTCAAACAAACACTGTAAAATTAAGTAAATATGATATATGTTATGAGTTATTTTTGCTTAATGCCTTTATAGTCTGACGCAAATCTTCTCACTTTCAATTTAGACATTTCTTTTTGATAAGGACTTCTTATGTGCCACTGTCAGCAAATCTTGAAATAGTGAAAATCCTGTGGGTTTTACGGACAGAAAGATTGTGCAACAGTGGATAAAGCCAAGTTCACTTTATCTGTACCAGCACAAGATGTAGTATGCAAATAACCACAGAGACACCGAAAAGACAACAAAAAGGGAAGATATCAACATTGTGAATAAGGATTTTGCAGAAGTCCAAAATTTTGACGGAAATGATTTGGTCGGGGTGATCGCTGGTTATGGTAAAACTTAATGAAATGCAATGAAACAAAAAAGAGATAAGGAAAAAAAAGCTTCACAACAATTTGTTTCTGATTTCATGCTGTTTTCAAACCTGCCAAAAAGATAATGACGTGTGAGGGCAGGCTTCTCTCCTGTTTATAGTCTTGTAATCACACTAATAACAAATGTTTCACTAATGTTTACTCACATAATCCGACCAGAGCTGGTTTTACAACTGACACATTTGACTCATTAGATATTTCAACTGGGCTTGTTCACTCAAAAGGTACAAGAGTGACAGAATGCCAAAAATGAGATTTTAATAATCAAGATATTTTTCATTTATCCAAACACCTCTTCAGTCCATTATACGTTACTTGAAGATAACTGTTTTATACATGAGTCAAGTTTCCTACAGCGGCTGTTTCTTTTCTGGAACAGACAATTCCTTTGATGGAATGAGATACGCAGAAGTTTGTTAAATTTGTTAAAAAATAAAGTCCACATTTGATTAAAAGATTCTTTTTTTATTTACACAGAGTAGAAAAAATTATATAGTAAACCAATGTAATGTTATACCATCAGTTTTTTTTTTAAAGTTTTTTTTTCTAAAGATTTAAATTTTAGAAAAAAACATGACGGAAACCATCCCATCCCTTTCACATTTTTCAAGGGTCATTTGAATTAGGATTATTTTTCAAAAATCATTCCTTTTTAAATCAAGTGATTTACTTCTGTAGTGTTAGCCATGTTAGTCTTGTGGGAGTTCATCTGCTGCTTTTTCAGACTGATGACCTTTTATTTTCTTACATAGAAAATAACTGGCGTCACAGTAGAATGATCAAATCAGAGGCTGATCTGGTTGTTTTAAATTTCGCCAAAAATGTATTTGACAATCTTTTCTTTTGATTTTATCCAGAATATCTCTTTGATATGTATGTGTTTGCATATTGTTTTGTTTTGTGTATCTTGTTAATATTTTGTATAACTCTTAGTGTTATATCTGTTTACTGTCTCATTATTCAGACTTGTATTATCTGCAGCACAGATAATACAGATAATACTGTTTGTGGCCATGCTGTAACAGCTGGATAGACACGCTCTGGGCTCTGAAAGTTATTTCAAGTCATAAGCTCAACAGTGAGGAGAGAGGTATGTGCCGATCATAGTTAAACACAAACTGAATAGTGTTTTGAGAACATGTTATGTCTGTTTAGTTATAAAATAACAGCAAACATAGTCTTATTATAAAGCATTTACATGTGTATGAAAGTATGACAACGCACACTACGCAAAGTTGTATTGCTTTGTATGTCGTTATTGACAGCACTGACCACTGACTCTGTGGTCAGTGGTCAGTGCTGTCTTGTATTCGTCTACTGCCCCCTACTGGTCAAATACAAGTTATTTTCCTCTGGAGTTGTGTTAAATAAACTATACAATGTTTGTCAAGGCCATTGTACCACAGATAAGAGGGGGAGACGGGTTTTCCACATTTATTATGCAGGTGGCAGATATAATTAGTCAGTCGTTGGGTGGATTTGCATCTTTTCACAAAAGGGAAGTTGGTCTATACATCTGTGTGTGTGTGTGTGTGTGTGTGTGTGTGTGTGTCTGTGTGCATGAGTGTGTCTCCGACCATAGACAAAAAGAAGAAGAGTTTTGTTTGGACAGAGAGTCAACAGCTTGTGGTTTCAGTAAAAGAGCGTTATTGACAGATATTGTGTGAGCCATCATCGCACTATTGTAAACACACATGCAATCCCTCTACGGCCACTGATGGAACGCAAAACTAACATTAAGTTTGTAACAGAATTGTAACACAATATGAAATAAAACTAAAACAATCACCGCCAATATGATGATTTACAATTTCAAAAGATAAACCAATGATAGCCGTGTACAGATTACCTGTTTTCCTTTCCCACCTAAACCTTTTAAGCAGCACCTGTATGTAACTTTGCTAATGGCATTTTGATTTGCCTGAAATGAACTTGGCCACAAAAATACAAGTATGGCTCGGGGCTTGTAGAGTTTATTCTTTCCCTTATTCCTGCAGCTGGTATCTAATAAATGTACAAGTAAAAAGGAACAGTCTTCCTGAAAATGTGAGACAGGCTTCTTCTCTGTTCAAATCCAAGTTAAAAATAATTCTGTTTAGCTGTGCATACAACTAAGGGATTTTAGCTAAGCTCCTTTTAATACTGTGATTATTCATGATTTTTCTTAATTGAGTGGCGTTCTATAGGAATTGTGCTATACAAATCAACTTGCCTTGCCATCAGGGGGGAAGAAATATGACTAAACGTATGTCAAATCGGATTTATTTCAAAATATACTTTTGCAAACTTTTGTGTGTCATCAAACTGTAGCTCTCCCACTTTCCAGAACCTTTACCACATATTTATGTTATTGACACTGCAGCAATTAAGTTATAGCTGCTGAAATAGTTAGTAAGTAAGTAATGTTTATTTATTTAGCAATTTTGTTTTAAAATTAATGTATTTCTTTATTTATTTGTCCATGCCATATTACATACTTACATCATGTATATTCCCTTTACATTTGTGCAACATAAACAAATAGGAACAGATGGAAGACATAAAGCCTTATTAACCCTGTCCATTTTTACAGACCAAGGTCCCCAAGCGCTTTACAATGTTCCAATACATACAGTCCTGAGTTCGATTCCATCTCCCTGCATTTCTGTGTGGAGTGTGTGTAGGTTTCCTCCAGGTGCTTCGGTTTCCCTTAACACTAAAAACACTATAGGCATGTAAAAAGTTAATGGATGGTGATGGTGGGAATCCTCGACGCACCAGTGTGTTCGGTGTGTCGCTTCTGTCATCACCCTGTCTGGAGTGAATGGGAACTAATGGTCCACCAAAATTGTAAAGTGCTTTGTGTGACCTTAGTCTGTGAAAATTGCTGTATAAATAAACATTACTTACTTACTATTCTAACAAGCACAATTCTTTTTTTTTATGTGTACCAATGGGGAATATTGTTTTGAGACAAGACCTTTTTGCTCAGGATTAGTATTTCTCCTTCAGTCATTCATCAACAAGTACGATTTTACAGTTTGCCCAACGGCCAAAGTTTAACACTTATTTTGCTGTGTTTATAAAATCATTTGTATGTCCTTAAACAGTAGTTAAGTGTTTGAGAAAAAAAGTAAACATTATATACACCTTTATTGAGCCAAACTATAATTCTTCATCTGTACAATACGGTCTAAAAAGTTCTTCCCATTACTAAACTTCCCACAAAGTTTCCACAACATGACATTGCTGGCACAACGCTGCACCGTGTCTCATCTCTTAAATAATGCTCTCCCATTGGCCCCCGTCGCCATGGGGACTGTCCCGATACAGGAACCGCCTGCATATGACACTCTCTACGCCAACAACCTCGAGTTAAATTTAGCATCAGCAACCACCTCGCGCTCATCCCACTCAAAGCACAGCCACTGTTTGGAAAGTGTGAATGAAACACACGTGCTGAAGCAGTCACCCACACGGACTGAGTACAGTGTGTGGGTTCATGAGAGTTCTGTGACCGAGCAGCATCCAGGTCATTTTCAATAGACATGTTCCCAGATTTCTGATCTAACCTCCGCTCCATCTTTTGCTTTTTGTTGCAGATATCAGGATGTCAAAGCCAATGGAGGTGGAGAAAATGGGGGCCGATTCGCCGCTGGACTGCACAGGTGAAAGAGAGGAGACCCAGTATAGAGTGTTTGAATAATGGAAATAACCACCATTGGCTTATAAATTAACAATTATACATCGTTTAAAAGGGACAAAAGTTCAGAAAATACTTGAAACATGAAGCTGCTTAGGTTCTGCTGCAGTGGAAATTAATTGTGTGAATGTGTAAACAGGGTTATAATACAGGGGATCAAAGAAAGTACCAATCTATTTATCTATCTAAAATACAACTTCTACAAACCTGTCAGCTCTATTTTTTCTTGGAAAATGCTTTTTGATTAAAGTTTCATATTATTTTGTTACGTGGGAATGAGAATATATAATATTTAAATTTTCTATGACATCTACATATTCAATGTGTTCCCAGAAAACAGTTCACATCTTCCGATCATATTAGACATTTTCTGAACCAAAGTTTAGATTGGAGTTATTCTTAAATGAAATGGTGTCCACAATTTATATGTATACAATTTACAAGGAGATTATCCAATCAGAGAGCAGAATGTAGCCCTCATTTGGGTTGCCAGTTTTTCGGGTAAAACTAAGCGGGTCTTTGGTCCATATTTTTTAAATTGAAAAACATACAAACTACAACCAAATATTTGTTTAACTGAAAGCAGATTAAAAAATAAGTAGTTACCCGTAACACAGTTTGTATTGTTTCTCGCTAAACTCCAGCAAGTGTAAGCTGTCAGAAATCAGTGCTTAAGAGCTGCATGTGTCACAGGAAGGTAAAATTCTGGCAACAAAAGGTTAATTGTAATTGTATCGACTTTATTAGGCCACTATGAATGCGTATTGCATACTGTCTCCTTAAATAACAAAGTTGAAAAATGCATTAGTCAAAAGATTTACCAATTAATTATCAGTTATCAACTTCCTATTTGTTTGTTAAATCACGACAGCGCTGGAACTGGGTGATGTTCTTTTTAGAACAATAATTGTGGAAAGACCAGACCCCCGCCAACCAAGAAGTTTAGTATTTTTTAAGTGATGCTCGGCCCTGTTTTCTCCTGTCTAAAAGTGTCACTTTTTCCTCTGCCTCCCACAGACTCAGAACGGAATGGGCCTGATTCGAACCATCAGGTAAATAGCTATAGTGTCATTTCAAGTTTTGTGTGTAGCTACTGCTTTATAATGTATTTATTCTGTATTATTTATTTGTGTATTTATTTGACAGAGAGAATAAGTCATAAATAGTGAATAACTAAGTCTAAATAAAAAAACATTGAATTATCTATGCAGGTAAATAACATGGTATAATACAGACATATGAACGAGTCATAGATATTTGACATAATTTTAAATCCAATACTAAATAGCAGGGATAACAGTGGGTGAACATTTTGCATATGTATTAAGATTCATTTTGTATCTTCCTGATTGAGACACATTTCCCTTTGGGTACAATAAAGTTGAAACTTTGAACATTAAAAATGTAAAATTATTCTTTTGATTTATCAATGGTTGAGATGTGTTTTGCTTTGCATAGGCTTAGGCATAGTTCATACATTATCAAGGATTCAAATCAGATTAATCCATCAAACAGCCATAATCAGATCAATGCACACAGTAATAATGCATATTTCTTGGCAATATTTCACATTACTTTTTGGCACATTTAAACACATGGTATTGAATAAAAACAAGCGATCATACTTTTACCTTACAGGGGGAAGTTCCAAAGCAGTATATAGCAAAACAGTGTTTGAACTGTGAAAGAAAAATGCATTTGTAACATGATAACATTACATTTGAAACATATATTTCCTTGTGTTTTTTTCAGGCTCAGTCGATGAAAGTGAACCCCTTCCCCAGCCTGTCCCCTGCCCTGAACAGCGCGAAGGTAAACATGTCTGAAAGTAGTTTTGTTCTCCAATGACACAATAGGTTTAAATACAGCCACTGTGTTCACTCAAAGGCCGAGCTCGCCTCTTTGTGTCCAGACTGGAGCTCCATAATGAGGTCTAAGCATTGATGTGTGCGTGCTGTAGTGTCATAGGACTATTTAACAAGACATATCATGCATTCTTTTGGTCCTTAAACCTGATCTTGAGACTATTTAAATCAAATATCAAAAATACTGAAACATATTTTATACATAGGGGAAAAATAAGCACTATTATTTTATTGGCCTATTATCTAAAGCAGTATCTCCCAAAGTGGGGTCCGCGGCCCCCTGGTGGGCCGCAAGGGTACTGCAGGGGGGCCGCGGGAGGTCATAAAAAAAATAAAAAAAATAATATAATTATTTAATGTTAAATTTATAATGTTTTGTTTGTAATATTAAAATATTTGTGTTCATTATTTGACTTGAATAATCCACTGTAATCATTTTTGTATTACAATGTTTGTAGCACAGGCTATTTCCCCAAAATAAAATGACCAGAAGAGCCTATTCTTAATGTTGTCTTCTTGGTTATTATTTTGGGGGGCCACGCAGACCCGTCAGATTTTTAAGGGGGCCTCGGTGTTACTGAGTTTGGGAATGGCTGATCTAAAGGTTGTGACACGTAAAATAATGAAAAAGGAGTGGAAAATCAATCTGTGGAAAAACAACCTCACGGACGGGATCTTTAGGCACCAGAGCAACCTGGAAGTTTATTCTCAGTTTCCTTCGTTTTTGTTTTTTTTCAGACAGAAACAAGTCAGGATATGCATTATGAAGTCAATATTTGTCACACATACGGCGCACATGGAAAGACATGCGTGTCACATCAAGAGACAATCGAAAGAACATAACACGGATAGACAATTGTAGCAGATACACAAACAGAGTCGTTGTTGTTGTTACCTACACAAGGCCAGATCTATTGTATACCAATCTATTTCCCATAGAGGTTCACCACAATCAGACAGGTTGCATTGGCCCTCTACTCCCATCTGGAATCCAGCGCAGGGCTCCGCGGTCATTAGCTCCAGATTCAGATTTGCATACTGTCAGAGATATGCAAATGAAGGATCCCGTCGTCAGTTGAAACATGCTGCTGCCACCCAACTGACACGCAGGCCAACAACCTGTCAACTTCCTTCAAACCAAAGCAGAAAGGAGAAGCTTTATTTAGGTAAAGAGGATAGCAGCTGAAGTACAGGACCAGATGATTGCAGCTGGAGCAGGGACAGCCGAGTCATGACTTTAACAGACCAGGTAATAATGGGGCCTATTGATTACTTATATATATCATTTATCTCTTCTCAAAATCAAATACTGATCTCTTCAAGTAAGTTCTTATCTCTCCATGGAGTACACATCATTGCATTGTTTGGTAAATCTGAATTTCTAACAACTAGCCACACAGAGATGTGGTCTCTGTGTGGCCATCTATGCAGTTTTTATAGTTTATTTGTATATGTAATCCTACAGGTGAAGAACAAAACTTCTGTAATGTATTTCAATGCATTTTCATTATAAGGACAGAATATAAATATGATAAAAGTGTAAGATTTGTTTGTTGTTGTTGTGAACAGGACTTATATGATGCTAGATATGTGACGTGATGTTGGGGAGGGATAGCTTGGATACATACATGTATTCCCTTCCTTCTGATCCTGTCGGTGCCTTCTGCACAATTCTTACAACATATATGATGTATACAATTGGAAGACATGGATAAATTAACTAGTTTTTACAGATTCAAATGTTGAATTAGTTTAAATAAACTTTTCCTTGAAGGGTTAGAGTGGGATTTTCTTTCTATGTGTGTTTTATTATACAATTTACGTTCAAGTTTGAATAACTTTGAACTTAAAGCAACACTTTGTAACTTTCTGTTGATGGTATACCAACTGCCTGATCGGAATAAGAAATTAAACCATACTTTAGAGGATTTGTTCTATGCAATACTGTGATAATAGCCAAGGGGAAATCCCCACGAAAGCTATCGGTGTACCAAACTTTCAAACCACAACAAATGAAACTACGTGAAAATTCAACTCCTTTTGGTTTTATTGCTAGTTTTCACTTGTACAGTATATTAAGTAAGTAAGTAATCTTTAATTATACAGTGCCTTTCACAGACCAGACTCACGAAGTGCTTTACAATTGTGGTTATTTGTCTCTCACTCCACACAGAGACGGGAGTGAGTTATCTTGTTCTCTGTCACATCTTTAGATCAGCTTTCTCAGACATATAAATAAAAACTGAGGACCACCCTCAGTCTTCCAGTCAGCTCTCAGCCAAAAGCATTGACTCACAGAGCTCTATTTTTCAAGAATACAAAAACAAATCTAATATGTTAAGAAAGTTAGGTATCCCAGCTTTAAGCATCACCATCACTGTGCCAGAACTAGGATTTGTTAGCCTATGTTTTGCTTGATCATGTATCCACTTGATCATTGATCCACTGTGAGATCAATGAAGTTTATTCTATCTTATCTTATCATTACCAGCGCTTCTGTTTGGGCTTTCAGACAAAGATGGAAGAGTGTGCAGACATGTCCCCAGCTCTCCCTCCTTCCCACGGGCCGACCCCCTCCCAGACGGCCCTCCAGCAGCACACTCCACTCATGCTGACAGGCTCCCAGTTCGCTGCAGGGGTGAGTCTCAAACAGAGGTCACAGCCGTGTTTGTTGTGTATACTCGGTGTGGACTCGGGCTTTGCTCTGTCTGGCTTTGCGTCTGCGGTGTCTTTATGGTGGCCGTTTTTCTGACCAGGGTTGCCACATTTTCAGAGAACTTAGAGTTACATAAAGAGTTAAATGCTGTATCAATACAAAAATATATCAATCTTTAATTGAAGAGCGCCTTATGTACACAGGGAAACACAAAGTGCTTCCACATAAAACACAAATCCTCACATAAAACAAACTCCAGAATCAATTAAAAAAAAAAATACAAAAAATGAGGTACACATTTGTTCTATATTAATACCTGAGGGATGTTCTGATACAAATACTGTTATTGGGTATCAGCACTAATCCAGGAACATTTGTTGGATTGGATATCTGCTCTACAATATATTTTAAGTCACTATTCTGGTTGATTAATTTGATGTGATCTAACAGGTTTTTTGAGGTTTAAAAAACAACTACAGCAAAACCATTCCTTTTCCTGGCCTTTAGATTAAAGACCAGGATCACTATTGTATAGTGCAATATAGTATAGTGAGTACCAAAGTACTGATACCTGTATTAGAATTGAAAAAAGAGGATCAATGCATCCACAATGAATATAAATATGAATTTAGACAGTGGCAGGAAACACACAGCCTTGGCAACCCTGCTCCTATCCTGTCTAACTGCTCCTTTCTCCTCTCTCCTCTCTCCCCTCTCCTCTCTCCTCCTCTCTCCTCCTCTGCTCCTCCTCTGCTCAGCTCACAGCGCTGCTGCCGGCTCAGCAGCAGTTGTTGCTGCAGCAGGCTCAGGCTCAGCTCTTGGCTGCAGCCGTGCAACAGTCTCACGCCGCACACACTGCCGCTCAAGCCAATCAGCAGGCGCAGGCTCAGGCCGTGGCCAATCAGCAAGCTCAGCAGCAGCAGCAGCAGCAGGTGGGACAGGTGCAGAGCCAGGGGGTGGGGCCACAGGAGCAGACCCCCCAGAGTGTGACTGTGCCCCCTCAGCTCGCCTTGTCACAGCCCATCCAGCTCACCGCACAGGTACAGCGCCAGCCCCGCCCACAGCATGATGGAATTGTTTAGTGACATCACACACAGCGCATTTCTCACATCAGGGTCCACACAAGCTGATGTGACCAAGTCTTTATTTTGTATGTACAGTAGCTCATTAAAAGGATTATTACATTTTGGTATTTTCTCTTAGTATTGAGCATTTTAATGTATAAGAAACTAGTTGCACTTTTGCTATCTAACTTAGTAGTTTACTGACACTGGCAAAATGATATTACATTAAACAGTAAACATAAGTGGATGACTGCTTAGCCCCAGAAGTGATAAATGTGCTGTGTTTATATTCCTATATTATTCTTAAGGGCAGTGACTCACTCTCTCCACCTGCGGAAACTGCATCCTCCTACTGCTCTGTGTCACAAACTTTCTGCTGCTTCTTTATCCATATGTCTGTGTCCTTGGGTTCACCGTGTCCTCTGTGTGAACAGGACATCCAGCATCTGCTACAGCTCCAACAGTTGGTGTTGCTGCCTTCAAACCCACTCTCCTCTCCTCAGTTCCTCCTGCCACAGGCCCAGCAGGGACAGCAAGGTATGGACTAACACATTAACAAGGACTTTCTCTCTTCAAGATTTTTATATATTGGCTCTTTACCAGGTCTCTTGTCGACATCAAATCTTATTTCGCTACCTCAGCAAAACCAGGGGAGCCTGCTGTCTGCGCAGAGCAGGATGGGCCTCCAAGCACAGGTAAGAGACATTTTGTTTAAGGCAAGAAAATGCTACACACAGTAGTTGCTGTTACAACCGCACTACATTTGTCTTAACTGTGTTGCAGCGAGATAAGAGCGCAGAGGTGAGTGTGGGCGGCATGACCGGTGTGACGTCTGTGACCCCTCATCCAGAAGAGCCCAGCGACCTGGAGGAACTAGAGCAGTTCGCTCGCACTTTCAAACAGAGACGCATAAAACTGGGCTTCACACAGGTGACCACACTCTATTGTCTCTGTGAACTAAAGCAACTATTACCCAACTTCAAGCCTTTACCTATACATCACTCTTTCCTTTTGAGTATTTTAAACAAGCTACCATCTGAAATATAACTGTGATGTAATTTTATGCAGGGCGATGTTGGTTTGGCCATGGGGAAACTGTACGGTAATGACTTCAGCCAGACCACTATCTCCCGCTTTGAAGCCCTCAACCTGAGCTTTAAAAACATGTGCAAACTCAAGCCACTGCTGGAGAAGTGGCTCAATGATGCAGGTGAGACACAGTTATACTCGCAGCGGTTTTAAAGAGTCATGTAACTGCTTTCCTAAAAGCTATAGAGTCGTAAATCTATCCTGGTTTTGTGGCTTAATATATTCAAGGAATTCTGCTAGTACCTTTTAGTGCTTTTGAAATGGCCAATGGCCTGTAAAAGATGGCATAAATTAATATATTTAAATAATATATACATTTCCGATGTGAAAAAAGGTGTCATATAGATTATAGAGCAGATCATAGCACAATTAGATGATGATTACAGGATAAAGCAATACCACCATGCTTTGTGTGCAGAGACCATGTCCATCGACAGCACCCTCCCCAGCCCCAGCTCCCTCTCCTCTCACTCCATGGGCTTCGAGGGCCTCCCGGGCCGGCGCAGGAAGAAGAGGACCAGCATCGAGACAAACGTGCGCGTGGCCCTGGAGCGCTCCTTCATGACCGTAAGACGCTCAGGGGTGTGGCTATTATTATGATGATTTTGATTAAAAGTTTTATCATAGGGCTGTCCAAACATGCTGTTGGCTCAGGATTCTTGCTAAATTGACCCAAATGATCAAAAGTAGTATTTTTACTACACATTGTGGATAAAAAAATCAAATGCAACCAGAATAAGACTTTAAGTTTTTACTTCTGGGTTCAATATCTCAGTATCAGTGTAGTAAATGTTTACATCTCTTTGTTCATACTCGTTGGTCTGTTTCAGTTTAACTGGACAAAATGTTGATTTATTTCTTGATGCTTCACAAATAAACATAAGTCAATTAACAACAATGAAACAGATAAGATGGAATAAGATGAAACTTTCATCTCATAATGGAGAATAATAGAGATTATTTTTTTACTACTAGTGAACTGGACCTGGTCCAGTTCAACTGAACCGGCACAACAAGTGTGAAAGCTCACTTACATTCCACGATAATCTGTGTAGGCAATGTAGAGCTTTTATCTGTATCATGAAACCAAAACTCTCTTTTGTTTTTTGTCTTCCTTTTCAAATGTTCTGGTTGTAAAGTCGCCCTCTGCTCTTGCCTCGTACCAGCAGAACCAGAAGCCCACGTCAGAGGAGATCCTTCTGATCGCAGAGCAGCTCAACATGGAAAAGGAGGTGATCCGGGTTTGGTTCTGTAACCGACGGCAGAAGGAGAAACGCATCAACCCCAGCAGTGCCACGCCTCCTCTGCCCAGCCAGCCGCCCACTGGCCCCTCCGCACACAAGACCCCCTGCTACAGCCCACACCTGGTAGGTCTAACTGCTAACTCATCAACAGGGAGATTGAGGTCACAATTCACACAGAAAACATCAAAAGTGTGGGTTTAAAAATGAACTATGAAACAAACTAAACATCTTGTTCTTGTTTTGTCAGATGTCCAGCCAGATGTCCACCCAGCTGTCGCAGCCCGTGACCAGCCTCAGCAGCACTCCAGTGAGCAGCATGTCCTCCATGTGCTCCCTGACCTCCAGCCTCGCCTCCAGCCTCTCCTCGAGCCACCCCTCTCTGATCTCCGCCTCCTCTCTCAGCTCCGCCCCCTCCCCAGTGACTCCTCCCCCTCCACCCCGCAGCACGGCCAGCCCCGCCACCCCCAGTCACAGTGCACTCAGCCTCAACACAGGGTAAACACACACGCACGCACACAACCGTACACTCAAACACACATACGCAATCCTGCTTTTGAGAGAGTGATGTGACATGACTTCCCCTCTGAGTAAAAATGTATTCTTATTATGCTTGCTATTGCATAATGTCTTATCCCGTAGGAAATATGATTATATAAGATATCTATCTACAAGGTTCTCAGAGTTTATTGTAATAATGTTTGAATTTGACAGACAACTGACAACTACTATATTTTTGAGAATGAGATTTTTTAAGATGATTGTATTCAGTCAAAACACCAAAACTGAGTGAATTTTATGCTTTAACTTATTCAAAATGTTCCATCACTTTCAGCCACTGTTCACATGTTTGAGACCACATGTCCACATTACTGCAATTACAACCTTTTATATCATAAACTAAAGACATAATAATTGTTTCATTTTCATCATTAATAAATCAACTTTTTACAACATTTACAGACCGCTTGTATGAGCCTTACAATGGTTATTGAATCATTAAAAACAACAAATGTGATGATAAATACTGAACCAGTCTGTCCCACATCTTCTTGCTCAAGAATTCCTATTACCATCTTGTGGGAACATTTGACTGCATTTATGAATACTGTTTATACAAATATTAAGTGCATATTTTCTTCAGGGCTCACACAACCTGTTCAACTCCCAAATATGTGTGAGAAAAGGCTGAGAATATTTGTTCCACAATTATATTAAAGGTGTTAAAACGGCTTGTAGATTATCACAAACACACTATACCCAGAAGGTTAAACTATTCTGAAAAGCAATAAAAAAAACAGTGAATAACAATTGTTTTCTCACATCATGCAACTATGCCACTCATGATAACAACTTTAAATTTGGTTTTCTACAGTGGCTTTCAAAGGCAAGTTGAGCTTTTTGTCACGATTAATACTGTGCTTTTTGTTGTTGTTGTTTTTTAACAGACAAGTAACAGACAAACGTGAGCAATAATTCATGGGTTTGTTTTTTAATAAAGTGGGTTAGTATTTCTCTAAGTGTGATTGCCTTTGAAATTATATACATTTCAAAATGTATTATTACTTTTGCACATCACTGTACTATATATACTAAGATAGTACTAACATATTATTTAAACGTCATAATAAAGCTTTCAATTTGTTAAAATACTGAAAACTGTTATAACACATATTTATAAGACCTTTTATAAGACATACGGTCCAGGATGGAAAAGTTACACCTAAAACCACAGCCTGTTTATTTTTCCCACACATTCTCATGCAGTCCTCCTTTAAAAAGCATGACACACATTAAAAATATGTAAACACCGGCGTCAAAAGCCACAGATCTCCACAGACAAGTTGAGACCTGCGCTCTCGTCTCAATTCACCTGCAGTTTGCAGTATAATTTCCAGTAGCACATGGCTTTATTTACTATCCCTGCACGCACATGTTCCAGCGTGTCTTTGTTCAAACACCGCTCCCTGTGCGCAGCAGTGCAACAGTCTAACCCCATTGTGTCTTTGCTTTGTCCACAGCTTATGGCGTATGGGCAAAAAGAACGGTGACGTGTCTAACTACATCACTGATTTTGCTGCAAACTTGAGGTGAATGCAGCCGAGACACTCAATTTATTAAAAAAATGCATTTCCAAGGAGCGCTCCTTTGTGTTTGTAAACAATACACTGTGTTCAAATCAATGGTTGGCTCTCCACAACCATAAGACGTAAACCCATAAGCAACCTTCCCTGAGTCAAAAAGGCTTTAGAGCCTTTTACCATTGTGTTGAACCAAGTTTCTATAGCCACTGTGGGTTTGTATACCAACTGGATCTGGAATTGTCACATGACGCTCACAACAGCCGTTCCAACCATGTGTGATCACTGCACAATTTGTGCTGCTTGGTGTATGTGCAGGGGGAGCTGTGCAGGGGCCACAAGGGTGGCTTATGCTTTCCATTGAGGTTTAGACTTGAAATTGGGATTTCGGGGTGATGTTTTACCTCAGTTTTTGTGTTCCATCAGTCAGGCAGTAGATCAAACCATTCATGCATAATAGGAAAATGCTGAAATCAGACATAATGCAGATCTATTTAAGGGCCAACTGGGCCAACGACACATGCAGGTTAGGGATGCACCAATACCACTTTTTAAAAAACCAATACGAGTACCTTAATTTGAGTACTTGCTGATACCGATATAGACTTACTGATACGAGTACTGCATTGTGTTAACCCTGGGACTTCATGAAACTAATACAACTGGAATTTACAATGTTTTATTTCTAATTTCAACAATAACATAATGCTTCAAAAATTAAACATTTTAGCATTTGTTTTAACAGTCAACAATAAGAGCCACTGTCTTATTGCACTCATACAAATACTGCGTTGTAGAGTTGGTTGTTTTTGCTGGTGTTAAGCCTAGCGTACATCGGACTGGCAACTGATTATATCCGTCGCATATGAGTTGCTGCCCCGCACACATCGACAATCTGGGGAAAACGGGCAACTCCCAGTAGCAGACCAGTCTTGGGAATAACAGCGCGTACATCGACAGCAACTGGCCTCAACTACAGTGTGTTTTCTGACATAAACTGTTGCGGGCTCGCAATACACGCAATACACACACGTTGTCGGAGCGGCGCATGGAGCGCGCACATCGGGTCATATCTCCGAAACTGAGGACAACTAGTTGCCGAAAAGTAGAACATCGGCAACTGACTGAAACTGGAGACCGACTGATCATCTCCAGTTGTAAGAGCGCGCACATCGACCGATTTCGGCAACTGATCATCTCCCACCATCTCCTCTCAGTTGCCAAAAGCCGCCTTGCAACTAGTTGTCTCCAGTTTCTCTGACGATGTGCGCTAGGCTTTATGCACTTCCTGAAGCTCCATCATCCAGCTCTGCTTCTTGCAGCATGGTATTTGTTGCGTGCACAGGTTACTCAAAGACACACACACAACAAGAAGAGAATGATCCTGTGCACGTGTTTGGCCCGCGTGTTTGACCACGTTAAGGCTCGCCACGTTGTTGTCAAAGCGGCCCCCAGCCGCTGGAGGCGGGAACCACTGTCATTACAAAGCACCGCAGCTGCCCCGGGTCAGAACGCTGCGGCCATGGAGGTTGCAGCTCCGTACAGCTAGTGCCTTGTGAGCAAGTGCCTCGTGGTCACGTGCGCACATTAGTAATCAACCGATTCAGAATTTACAATATTGCTGTGCTGTGCCTTCCACCGCTGCTCTCAGCCATGTTATTTACAAACATACTTCCCTCTAATACTAATTTCTGACCTAATTTGCAGTTTTCTGTTTTAATCGCTCATGTGTATCCTATGTCCTGAACATCTTTGCTGCAGCTAACCCAGCTATCTGTTTTCTCTTGTCTTTTTCTTCTTCTTTGTCTGTCGCTGCTGGCCCTTGTGCGTGTGTATCGTGCGCGTGTGTGTGCTTGGAAAACCAGGAACACTGTGATGGGAATGAACACGGGGATGAACCCCGCCCTCTTCGGTACCAATCCCCTGGCCACTATCCAAGGTGTGTTTCAGTGAACCCCCCCCAACTGTACGCTAGCATTTCACCAATTCACTTAAAACTAGCCATTATTGCTATTTAACATAATGACAGAAGCCTATTTATTTAACTGCATTAGAGAAATCGCTTGTTCTGTTCATCGATCCATCTATTTTCTTCCGCTTTATCGAAATCCCAAAGCTTTACCAGACCATACATGTCCTAGGTCTTCACTGGGGTCAAGCTTCAACACAGACTCTGGAATTGTCTCTTAAACCAGACATGCTGAAACAACATTCATAGCATTGTATTGTCATTGTTCATGCCATCATCCCATCCGTGTGCATGCTGTGAGTGTTGGCTGTGCTTGTGTGCCTGTGTCATTCATTCAAACTAGCTTTTCTCACTTTTATAATGCCGGAACAAAAACTATGTGAATATGCAAAATTATGTTTACGTTAAGTGATAACTATTGACTATTACCTGCACTAACAACACGTCTTTGTCAGGTTTAGCGAGAATACAGAAGCAATGTTAAGTAAATAGTATACCACATAATCAAGTATAAATACACCGATCTAGTGAAACAGGAAAGGGTTATGTTAAGTTGAAATAATAATCACTTTTTACACGGAAAAAAACTTTTTATGGAGAAACACCCTATACATTTACAGTGAATTACTCCAATATATACCAGTGGCTGAAACACACCGGCACATTTTGAATCAATAGAAGTCATGTTCAAATAAATGCTCTTTAACTTTTTTGTCTGCTCGTGTTTCAAGACAGAATTTAATTGTATTTAATGTAGTCTCGATACTATTTCTGTATTCACAATATATTGTGAATGAAACTGACAGTATAGTGGTCAGGACATAATGGTCAGGTAACAACCTGCCGTGCAATTGTTATCTGAGCTTAGAAGCACGGCTAACTACTTATTTGTTGGCCTCATAAAAGTACAAGCACAGATATTAGGGTTTCAAAGTAACCAATTACATTAAAAGGTTGTCAGAAAGATAAATACTAAATTAAACTGAACTAAAAAAAATGCAGTTCTTAAGTATACTTGCCACCTTTGGGCTATGAACAAAGTAACCAGACCAGGGTAGGTCTCCCCCGTTGGACAAGACTAAAGTGAGTCCAGAGAGATTGAGGCTCTTCAGTCCAATTTAGCACAATGGAGAATGACTTTCCAGTGGAAATCATAGTGGTGATCATAAACCATTTTTCACACTAGTCTTTTCTACATCAACGGCCAACTAATAGCAAAATCCAAAGTGTGACACTAACTCAACTTTGTTTTTGTCTGTCCTAGCCCTAGCAGCCAGTGGTGGCCAGCTGCCCCTTTCCAGTCTTGAGAGCAGCAAACAGGTAATGCTGGGGGCGTCGGGGGGGCAAAGTGGACACCTGCCCTCCTCCCTGTTCCTGAAGCACCCTGCCCTGCTCCACATGGCCCAGTCCCACGGTGCCGGTCTGGTCAGCGCAGCCGTAGCCAAAGCCTCGCAGTCCTCCCCGTTCCAGTGTGCTGGCAGCATAAGCCCCACCCTCTGCTCCCCGTCGCCCTGCTCTAGCCCCGCCTCTTCCTGCTCCTCCATCGAAATGGCACACAGCCCACCTTCACTGGGAGGAGCCAAGATGGAGTGAGGGCCAATCAGAGAAGGGGGAGGAGGGAGGGAAATCGCAAAACCTCGCCTTTCACACCAAAGCTATCTCTTCCTCTCGTTGACGCTCTTCTTCGTATCTCTCAGCAAAAGTGTTCTCTCTTTCCGTCTCTCCCGGTCTTTCGATGCCAAAAATACACAGAATGAAAGAGAGGAGGGATGAAGAGAAAGATGTCCAAAAGAAGAAGAAGAAGAGGGTAATGGGGGAAGATCGAAACCAAAAATCTTTATCCAACAAGGCGCAACCAGGATGCTTTTGTCAATAATGTTTGATCAGACATTGTACCTCTTCAGCCTCTGAAGCAAACCAATGAGTTTTAAAACTACTTGAAGGCAACAGAGGTGCATGTCCATGTGCAAGAAACCAAAAAGGACAAACTGCGATGAAGGTATGGCGGCAAGGACAAACCCAGTTAGGGAGAGAAGACGGCGAAATGTGCATACTTACTTTTTTGCTTTAAAAGCTGAACAAAGAGGAGGGTGGAGAGGTTTAAACCAAAAATTTACCTTAGGAGGAAGCGGAGGAGTACACAATGACAAAAATGACAACCATACCAAAATCCCAAATACCAAAAATAACGGAGAGAAAAGCTTTATTCAGAGGATGTGTAAATACTGAAGCTATCCAGGACCAGGACTTCTCTAACTCTTTACACACTCATTTCCCATCCATTCTTGTACTTGTTTCGTGTTCTGCTTTGTCTGTCTTTTACCTCTGGTTCGAAAGCTTGTGCTGTAGGTACCTCTGGCCGCCTTGTAATTCAACTTTATCAATTAGTCATTAGCAGTGTTAGAAATACCATTATTTTCTTCTGACACAGCTTTCAATCACGGTCGCCTTCATCTCACGTTTTTTGTGATTGACATTGTCTTCACTAAGTGCCAAAGATAGCCGCTTAAGTTGATGCTCGTGTCGCCAATTTCAGGGTGTAAACAGATTGATCGAACTACAAAGTTGCAGCGTAGCATGGCCCGATAAGTCTTTCATTGCTTTGATAAAAGTGTAAACCGATTAATGAACATGCCCTCTTTACTTGAAACTGTATTGAAAGAAGTTGATGCTATACAATTCGGCATACAGTTGAAGACATGAAAGTTAATGTCTTTGAAAAGCTAAGTAATAAATCAATAAAGCCTGGTTTAGTCATGGTGTGGTCCAGTCACTGTCAATTACACCTGTTTGTCTCCTCAAATTGTTTTTTCTCATCATCATCTTCATTCCATCGATCATTCTTTTTTTTCCACTTCACACTGCCATTAAACTCAAATGGAAACCAAAGCATTCTTAGCACCGTGGGATTTGTCGGTTGGCGATTCCGCGGTCGAAACACATGAACACAATAAAGACACAAAATGGCGGCTAACAGTGGACCAAAACAGGACCCAACGCTGCCGATGGACATCCGCGAAGATTCCCTCCTAAACGCCTGTCCAAAATTCCCAATGGGGGAGCTTTATAACCAAGGAACACTTCCTTGCTTACTCCGAACCCCAAAGAATGGGAAGAGCTGGAGACAGGCGGCATCGTAGTGAGGAGCCGGAGCAGGAATCACAACTTTTCTAAGAGGATACCAAAAATTTTACCCGAAACCAAAAAGAACACTCAACAAAAAAACCCAAGGAATTACAGAAGCAAACCAAAAAGAACGCTTACCAAATATAGATGGAGAGAGAGGAGGGGATACGGACACATTGTAGAATCGTAAAAAAAAACTGTAGCATGGAAGAGGAACAGACAATATTTTGGGATCCTCTCCTCCTCTCCAGCGCCACCGTCTGGTCCTGGATGGAATGAAACGCAAATGACCTCACTGAACTTCTGAATCTTCTAAAAAAAAGAAACAAAAAAAACTCTCTTTTTATTTTTTTGTTCCAATCTCTGCTGTGTATCTTGATGCCGTTTTTTTCTGTAATGTACTTTAGTGCTTATACTCATTTGGAATAATGTAACTCGCTTTAAACTTACTACGAGAGCTCCTTATTTTTTTCGTAGTCGTGCTAGAGATTTTTATCAGGTTGGTTGGAAAAAATACTGTGAAAATTTAGCTTCCAGATTTTTATTATTAGATGAAGACTGTCTCGGCAAAGGAAAAAAAAAAAGACACATTCACCGTAAGGCCAAAAAATAAGCAAAACCATGACAACCAAATAACTTAGCATACCAAAACAGTGTATTGAATGGACTTACGTGTGGGCTGCCTGCGCGTACTGTTGGGACGTATTAGCGCCATCTTGTCTGAGGCGTGCAATAGCGGTCAAAATCAAATGATGTCTTATTGTTTCTCTTTGGCCTTTTGCGGGCAGCGTACTCAGACAAGTTGACAGTTTTTTTGCAAAGTTGGACTATCCAAAGAATATTAGGTTCGCTCACAGCAGCAGACAAACTCCACTGGCAAAGAAGAATCATTCAGAAACCAAACGTAGATGTGAAGTGAAAGGTCAAACCGCTCGCCTCGCATTGAACTCTTTAGACGGAATGTATCTGTTAGTGCTTCTATAGATTTTGTAGAAAAAAGATCTATGTTCTACTGCTTACTTATCGCTAATGTATTAAAAAAATACAAAAAATGTCTTGAGAAAAAAAAAAGATCCTAAAACATTGATGATAATAACTTGATTTTAGACCAAAAATTGTAACTATCTCTCTTTGGGATTTTTCTGTTCCTTGTTCTTACAATGATTTTAGACTTTTGATTGTACTATTTATTCAGGGTAGGTTTGGTAATAATATAATTTTCTTTATTGTCCTGCTATTTATTGCTAATTTATTTGTAGCTGCGCTTTCATGTTCTGAGCCGCATTTGTGATTAAGTAGTCTGCCCTCTACTGATTTTCTCTCTTGCTACTTATACAGATCAATTGTTATGGGGTGAATATGAATGATACAATACTCCTGTTTGAAGGGAGTCGACAAAGTAGAAGCTGCACCGCTCAGATCGACAACACAAAGGAGAAAGTTCACCAACCTCTGCCAAGGCATTGATCTAATCTTATGTACCTGTTTATGGTAGATTACACTATGAAATATAAAAGGCGGCACTGTGGCGGAGTGGCTAGGTCCTGGGTTCAAATCCCAGTCAGAACAGGGCCTTTCTGTGCGGGGATTGCATGTTCTCCCTGTGTCTGCGTAGGTTTCCTCCGGGTGCTCCGGTTTCCCCTACCGCAAAAACCATGTACAATTGGTAAAATCCGATTTTCCTGACCCAAGCCAAGCATCACTATCCCTGGGCGCTGTAATGTAGTGACCACTGACACTGGCATTGCAGGATGGACTAAATGCGGAGGTCAAATTTCCCTATGGGATGATGAAGTATATCTTAAAAAACTGTAAAAATGTTGGCAGAGGTGGTGTCCAGACTCTCATTGATGTGTTGCTGAACTGTTGGATTTCTTTATTTACTCTTTGAAGGCCTAAACATCCCAATAGACAAGAAGAAGATTGGCAGGGGCAAGACTACGTTTTTTATTTTTCCATGACAAGACAAAACAAGGCGTGACGTGTGACTTTTGTACCACACGTTCGTCCTTTCTGTCTTCTCATCTTTGTTCATTTTTGGCTATTTATGATTTGGCACAACTCCAGTTCTTCGGCGTTAAAGAGAGATAGTTCATCATATACCTCATATTCTTTGATGATAAACCAAATAGATGAATGCTTTAAAGCGGAGTTCACAGGGGCCTGCGGAGACTGGAGCGTGGACGCATGCGACACAGGGGTCAAGTTCTGAACGGAGTTAGCTTTAGCTTTAGCATTGATCTGCCGGTGTCGTTTTTATCTCCGTTCGGATCAAAGGTGCCAAAGGGGTCGCATGAGCTCACATCTTTCGCTCTTGTCTCCCTGGGAACTCCCTAACGCTGATCACGATGAGCTTTTTTGAAAACGGCCATTTCCTCAAACTTGACCTTGATGCTTCCCCAAATATCGACGTGGTCCGTAAAGCTGCCTCCGTTCGGCTCCAATCTGGGATCAAAAGTGTCCAAAGTCCTCGCTTGAGGTGAACTTCTAACTTTGATTCAATAAAGATTCGAGATTGAGTTTAACGGAGCGGCTTTGCCATAAAGGTCACCGCGGTGCCATGCCTTCAGCCTCGTGAGAAACCGTGGTGGCCTGATGCGGGGGAGGCAGCGGTGGGGCGGGTTGAGGAAGTGGCAGGGGCCGAGGTTGCCGGGTGACAGTTAACAACACTCATACTTGTTGAGTGCGGTGCGCTTTGAAGGGGCAGGAGACTTTTGGATAGAGTTAGACGGACTGGGACGTGACCCTGAGGCTGGTCTTATTGGTGAGGATACCCCCCTTGTGAATCATACCAAAGTTAATGCCTTGCCATAAGATTTAGCAGCAGGTACAACCTCCCTTTGGTCCGACTTTGACCAAAATTTCCTAAAATGATTGTATTGCATCACGACAATATTAGTTTTCTCTAGCTAGTGAGCCTGAAATAGGTTTTCAGGAACAAAAACAGTGTTTATAGCAATAACACTTTACAAATGCTCAGGCATACAACATATTAACTAACTATATCTTATACTGTATAGTAGAGCTACCCTCTCCTTAATTGTATGAAAAAGTCGCCAAGATATCTCAGGACATTGACCCAAAAAGTGGAATTTGATGCTGTTGGGTCACAATAGATTTAGACCTATACAGTATATCAGTATAACACATATAAAAAAAAGCCCTAGAGAATGGCGCCTAAAGATTCTGGTTTGAAACAAAACTAAATGCGTCTTGATGAAGGCACAATCTCGCTTCAAAATGTTTTTTCCTGAATCTAATTTGAAATCAAGATGAATTAGTCGCTGACAATTAGTAGCATGACAAGTAGTTTCACAACACACTAAATGAAAGATCACATATTTCGGCAAAGTAATGAGCCCACTAACGCCCCTTCAAAGACACCATGCTCGCACTCCTTTCCTTTCTCTTCTCTCTCTCTTCTATACAGCTTTAGCCCAAAGGTTTTCTCAAGCAACAAATGCAAA